CTGCTGCCCTCCCAGCACAGCCTCGGGGCATCGAGGTGGCTCCAGCTCCAGGCACTGGACTAGCAGAGGGGCACAGCTGGAGGATGGAGCTGTGTGCCAGAACCCGGGCATCTGGGGGGGCAGAGGGAGGCTGGAAGGCCGGGAGCTCCCACGGGCCGGTGGCAGCAGGCTGGGCAGCTGTGGGAGCACTGCTGGAATCTGCTCCCAGCTGGCACCGGGAGCTGTGATTGCAGGACGACTGGAAGAGGATGAATTTGCTCTATGAAGGCCCGTGTGACACCTGTAAGGAATGACCAGCCCAGACCTGGAAAGCTCTGGCTGGTGTGTTGGAGCAGATCTGCTGCTCCATCCAGGAGCAGAGCTTGTGGTGGAACTTGGCCTGCCAGGTTCAGGGGGATCAGCACCCACAGCCTCCGAGTGTGAGGCTGGTGCTGGAAGAACAAATATTGCTGCTGTACTGACAGATGGGTGATCAAAAGTTGAAATCACAATGAAACCAAAGCTCATGTTGGTGGGTGAGAGCTTTAGTTGTGCTTCTAGACTGTCCATTAATGTTTTTCCCTTTCTCCTTTAGATGTGGTCTTTCCCCCCTGCCCTCCCCAGCTCTGTCCAGCCCCACGGAGCCGTGCTAGTGTGAGCTCTGGTGCAGGCTGGCACGGAGCCTGTCTCATGGCCAATGGCAGGAAAACACTGCCAGGGTTTCTACCTTTGGATATTATTTGTGCTTCAGCGGGCGTGAGTGGGAGGCAGTGCAGCAAACTGGCCTTTTCCTAGGATAATGCATCCAGGAGGAGAGGTGAGAGGTGGGAGATGGACCCTCCCTCTCCTGCTCTTCCCAGGCACTGGCCCAGAAAGGGCTGAGCAGCAGCTCTGCTTTGCCAGCATTTTTCAGTCTGAAAGACCTCGGGGCAGGCGGTCTCTCTGTGGGTACAGGGTGATTCGGATTAATTTGGAAATTGCCAGTTCCAAGCTTCAAGATGTTACCAGGAGAACTCAGACTGACCCCTGGGGGCACCCTGCTCCTTACCAGTGTTCAACCAGACTTGGTGTCACTCGACACCACCTTCTAGGCCCAGACATTCAGCCAGTTCCCAATCCACCTCACTGCTCATCCAGTTTAGGAGCTTCTTGGCTCCTCTGTCACTTGGGTCAGGGAGTTGTCATTGAGGGCTCCGGGAATGTTCTGGACTGCCTGTGCCCTGCTGTGCTGTCATTCCAGCAGCTGTTGAGGTGTTTGAGATTCTCAGTGAGGACCAGGGGTTGCAAATACAAGGCTGTTCCTTTCTGTCAATAGAGCACCTCATCTGCTTGCTCTTCCTGGCCAGATGGTCTACAGTGGAGATTCCCTACAATGCTATCTGTGATGTTCTGCTCTTTAATCCTCCACTACAATCTCCTCACCACGGTGAGGGTGAGCCATGGGTGATGGCTCCTCACCCATCCCCACAGAGGTCCATGGCCTCCTGCTGCACTCTCACATGAAGGGTGACTCCCCGTCCTCGTCTTCTCTTTGCCCTGACTCCTCTGTGAAATTATCAGGGTTCTTGTTCATGGCGTAGGATTTGGTAGACAAGTAGACATGGACCTGTTGGAGTGAGTCCAGAGGAGGCCACAAAGATGCTCTCAGGGCCAGAGTCCCTCTGCTCTGGAGCCAGGCTGGGAGAGCTGGGGGTGTTCACCTGGAGAAAGGCAGGCTTCAGGGAGACCTGAGAGCCCCTTCCAGTGCCTAAAGGGGCTCCAAGAGAGCTGGAGAGGGACTTGGGACAAGGGCCTGGAGGGACAGGACAAGGAGGAATGGCCTTAAGCTAAAGCAGGGCAGAATTAGATGGGGCATTGGGAAGAAAGTGGGGATGGTGGGGCCCTGGCATAGGTTGCCCAGAGAAGCTCTGGACGCCCCATCCCTGGAAGTATTCAGGGCCAGGCTGGACAAGGTTTGGAGCAATCTGGTCTAGCAAGGTGTCCCTGCCCATGGCAGGGGGTTGGACTGGATGATCTTTAAGGTCCCTTCCAGCCCAAACCATTCCATGACTCTCTGAAAGCCAGACAGCAGGAAGCCCCCCTGAACCCCCACAGGGGGCCCTCCCAGGGCCACGCTCCTGTAGCCTCTTCTCTCGTCTGCTTCGCTTCCCAGGTGCAGGTGTGGGACACAGCCGGCCAGGAGAGGTTTCGGAAGAGCATGGTGGAGCACTACTACCGCAACGTGCACGCCGTGGTCTTCGTGTACGACGTGACAAAGATGAGCTCCTTCACCAACCTCAAGACATGGATTGAGGAGTGCAATGGGCACGCGGTGTCCCCGCTCGTCCCCAGGGTGCTCGTGGGGAACAAGTGTGACTTGAAGGACCTGATCCAGGTGCCGTCCAGCCTGGCCCTCAAGTTCGCCGACGCTCACAACATGCTTTTGTTTGAGACCTCGGCCAAGGACCCGCAGGAGAGCCAGAACGTGGACGCCATTTTCATGTGCCTGGCCTGCCGGCTGAAGGCGCAGCGCTCGCTGCCCTGCCGGGACGCCGAGGGCTGGCCGGGGCAGCCCCAGCCGCAGTCCCGCCGGCTGGACGAGGCCAGCGGGAAAGGCTCCTGCCCGTGCTGAGCGGGACCAGGCCCGGACCCCAATAAAGGCTCTGAGCTCCCTGCGCTCCGACTCCTGCTTTGCGCCTCGGCCACGCTCGGCTCGGTCCGGCGGGTAGCGCTCGGGTAAAACCGGCCCGGCTCGGCTGTGATCGGCCCGGTTCGGTTACAATCGGCCGGGTTCGGCCCTGCTCGGCCACGCTCGGCCCGGTTCGGCGAGTAGCGCTCGGTTGTAATCGGCCCGCTTCGGTTACAATC